ACATAAAATCAAGAATATTGTGGACAACCTTGACCATCTTCTTCATCAGACTGTCGTAGAAAAACAAAGTGTTTTCAGTCGGAGGCTTCTTCAATTTCACTGCAATACAAGACCGCTACAGAAGATCTTTCCTGACCACAGCCATCAGCATCTACAGTAATTCTTTAGGTAAATGAGTTACAACAACGCATAATTTCCCTCTGGAATCAATAAAGAATTTGTGAATTGAATTGAATTTGAAACTGCACAAATATTGTTACAGGAAGTGTTCTGGATTCATGGTTTACCTTCTGACATTGTCTCTGACAGGGGTCCACAATTCATATCTCAATTATGGAAAGAGTTCTGCAAAGCCATGGGAGCCACGTCTAGCCTTTCTTCAGGATACCACCCACAATCTAATGGTCAGTCTGAGAGATGAAACCAAGAGTTGGAGACCATTTTACGCTGCGTCTCTGAGAAGAATCCCTCGGACTGGTCCAAACACCTGCTGTGGGTGGAATATGCCCACAACACCCTGGTATTCTCCTCCACTGGTCTGACACCATTCGAGGCTTCTTTGGGTTACACACCTCCCTTGTTCCCACAAGAAGAAACWGARATTTCGGTCCCTTCTGTTTGAGAACATGTTTCYAGATGGAGGAAGTTGTGGAATGAGACCAAGGAAGCCCTRGAAAAACCGCTGAAGCCAGCAAAACATCTGCAGACCTGACACGCATGGATGCCCCTGACTACAAGGTGAATCAACAGGTGTGGTTGTCCACTCGAGACATTCATTTAAAAGACTTACCTAAGAAAATGGCTCCCAGATTCATCTGAACTTATCCCATTGAAAGGATCATCAGTCCTTTGGCAGGAAGGTTGAAACTCCCACAGTCCATGCGCATTCATCCAACTTTTCATGTGTCCCAAATCAAACTAGTGGTCTCTAATCAACTGTGTCCACCTCCTAAACCCCCTCCCCTTCCCATTGCTCTGCCACTAATTACTCTTCACAGRTGTAGCCAATCTACTCACCCAGAGGAGCAGTACTTAAGGAGGAGCTGCACAACAGRMAAAMGCTGGAACAGAGTTTCCTTGGTAGGACTCTTTCTCTGGCTTTRTGAGTATTATCCAAGAAAACTCTAAAGTGTTATGTTTTTCTAGAATCTCTACAGTTGTTTGAAATTGGCCCTATTTTGTACCTCCTCGTTTGTTGTGGATTTACACCTGTGGAAACTCATCTTGTTGTGGTTCCTCACCTTGGATTACCTCCCTTCATCTCTGGTCCTGGACTGAGTTCTGTGCTCCACAAAAGGCTCTACCTCTGGSTCACCTCTTGGAGAAAGCACCCACTGTAAATATCTCTCACCACTTACCTGTAAATACTCACCTGGTGCTCACTGAACAGSCTGCGACAGTCCATACTTCCACCGTTAAAGAAACCTTCACGGACCATCCAGAATTG